TCTAGTAATTACACAATTTATAGAATCCTTAAAAGAGCAGTACAGCTGAATGTCATCTGCATATAGGTGATAAGAGACATTGTGAAAATAATCAATTATCTGTCCAAGAGGGTGTATGTACAGTAGAAACAGCAGTGGACCCAAAACAGAGCCTTGGGGTACCCCACAGAACAGATCAGTAGAATCTGGCATGATTTGGTTTATGCAGAAACTGTAACTTCTGTTAGAAAGGTACGATCTAAACCAGTCTAGAACAGTTCCAGAGATCCCCACCGAGTTACCAAGTCGGTTAATCAAAAGCTGCAGAAAGATCCAACAATACTAACAATGTAGCCATCAAGATGTCGGTGGAACTATGAGAAAGGCTATTTCTATACAACGCTTTTTACAAAAGCAGGATTGGAATTCTTCACAACTTTTGTACAGTTACAGAAAAGTAATCAGCTGATCCTAACCCATAAACACAAACGTGAATAAAAGTAGATGTACAAACGCGAGTCAATTCGAAATCATCAGGTTTGCTTTTGAAAGTTTGAAACTCCTAAAGAAAACGGATGCAAAAGGTAGACGTGAAAACTCCTCAGAAAGGAGAAATGGCTTTACTGTTCCACCATGGAACTGGACAGTCTACAGAGAGTGATGCTGACTTGTTGCAACAATGGTCCTTTCGGCTGCGTGCGTTAAATCATCAAGTCTTTAATAACAAAATCTCTTAAATTCAACAACATAAGACAGCTAAGTGAAAATTTCACGAGCCACAGGGAAGAATGCTAGGGGAAATAATCTTCACACATACTGTCCAACACTGATGAAGAGCAGTTCTCAGCAAGTCTAGACATACATATTAGTTCTGCCCAACAGGTCAGTAAAAGAAGAGGCAGACTAGGAGCCAGCCATGCACTCAGGCATGAGGATGGTTCCTGAGCTTATACGGGCTGCGCTCAGGCTGAAGTTGTGGTTGTGCCTGCAGCCAGTGGCTGCTGCCTACCTGCAGTCTCACTGAAGTTAATGCAACATGGCAGCCCTGAGGGCAGAGCCTGCACAACTTTCTCAGCCCTCTCGGAGTAATTGGTGACCCCTGAACCTGCCCTTCGTATAAAAAGAGGAAAGGGAGGGCAAAGGAGAGGAGGGGGAGACAGGACAGTGCATCGTCAACAGATGGGGAGACGAGATTACGCAGAAGAACAAAAACCAAAGGCAGAAAAAATAGAAGATTCAGGAAGACGTGAGCCAGGAGGAAAAGGTTAATCTCTTTCTGTGGACAGTTCGAAAGTTCAGCCATTAAAGTCTGTAATACAGATGTGTGTCCTTTTTAAACAAACATGGAAACCAATAGTATAGGGCCTAATCTTTAAACCAGGAGTTTGTACAGATAATGTCAAGATTCGTAAACAATACAAACATTTCCTCAGGTTATTAAAGGGACAACATCATCATCATCAAAAATAAACTATTTCACTTTTGTTCACTGATGTTAACAAGTTGTAGACTTTGATAGAATTCATCCCACTAGATTTATAACGTCCTCCAATAAGCCGTGTTTCACTTTACACTGGACACACACACACACACACACACACACACACACACACACACACACACACACACACACACACATACACACACACACACATATATATATATATATATATATATATATATGTTTATGTATTTGGCAGATGCTTTTATCCAAAGCGACTTACAATTTATAACCTATAGGGCATGTTGTGGTCTGTGGGGGAAACCGGAGTACCCGGAGGAAACTCACGCATGCATGGGGAGAACACGCAACTCCAAGCAGAAAGGCCGCAGCTGAGATTCGAATCTGCAACCTTCGTGCTGCGAGGCAACAGTGATAACAACTGCGCCACCATGCAGCCACGTATGTATGTATATACACATATATATATGTGTATACACACATATACATATACATATATATATATATATATATATACATATACATATATATATATATATATATATATATATATATATATATATATATATATATATATACACACACATATACATATATATACATACATATTAGGGGTTGTATGAACTAGTCGACTTCACGGCTCTGTAGTGACTTTTTATGCCTGTCATCGACTAGTCGCTGTCACGTGATAATGACTGACAAGATGCAGTCCTTGGAAAAGACAGCAGGTGAAAAGACGTTGTGCCAGAGCGTCGGTACTGACACCGGCGGTAAAACGGACATTTAACCAAACTGTGACCTTTTCCCTCTTGCAATTCTACCTTCCCCTCACCCCCATCCTAACCGTAACCAGTTTGCGCATGCAAAGCTCTGATCGTTGACGCGCTCCAGACATCTGCGTCCTGAGCACCGGCAAATCAGGTGTCACCACCTCAAAAACAAATTTAACACGCGATCGTTCATGTCGGCTCATTTCCTTTAATGTTTTCTGTCTGCTATTTGTGCCTGATGCGTTTCGCTGCTGCGTAGCGAGGCGCATCACCTGTTTTGTCCCCCGGTGATGAACCCCCAAAATTCCACTATTTCCACTCCGCTCCGGCACGAACTCCGCAGCAAAAACGGTCCCGTTGTAGTCGGCCGGTGAGCACTCTGCTGTTTTTGTGGTCGGTAGATCTTTAAGAACTGCAGTTCAAAGGTAACTCATATATATATACATACATATATATATATATATATGATAAGTGACCCGCACTTGTATAGCGCCTCTCAGAGTAAGGACTCCAAAACGCTTTACACTACAGTGTATCATTCATCCATTCACACACACACACATTCACACACTGATGGTGATGAACTACGATGTAGCAACAGCTGCCCTGGGGCGCACTGACAGAGGCGAGGCTGCCGAGCACAGGCACCACCGGTCCCTCCGACCACCACCAGCAGGCAAGGTGGGTTAACACACACACATATGTATATATATATATATATATATATATATATATATATATATATATATATACACACACACACACACACACATTCATATGTATATACGTTTGTATTCATCCAAGTTAGTCATTAAACAACTGGATCTCCATCCTTAGGCAGATAGTTGTCCTGCATTCATGACTGCGGCCTTGTCTGTGTGGGTTTTCTATGCAGAATGAATCCATTTGTCTCCACTGATGGAAAATAATTGCAAAGCAAACAAATCATCTCTGCCACATTGAGCAGGCTTCTACTCCCGGGGCAAAGCAGCTCGATCGCTGCAGGAAAGAAGACGGACTGACACGGAGATTAACGAGGAAGAAAAGGGAAGCGAGGCAAAAGAGGAGGCTAGAGGAGGTGCAGAGCTAAACGCTCTGGCGTTGGGATTATAAATGCAGAGCGCTCCAAAGCAGCGCTTGTTGCAGAAGCTGATGCAGTGGGAGTGAGACGTCTACGTGGTGTTCTGAGGAGGCTGAAGAAAACGGGGAGAGTTGGAGGCCTCCGTGGAGACTCAGTCCAGGAACATAAGGAGGAGACGTCTGGAGATGCCCTGCTCTGGGGCAGAGATGAAAGAAAATGTTTTTATTACGGGTGTTCCACACAAACTTGGTGACGATATGAAGAATAAAGTTTTTAAAATCAAAAACGTTCTTAATATCAGATGAATATGAAGTTTGTGATGTATCTGTCTGGTTCCTGAGCTGCTGTTTCTGAGGAGGACATGTTTGCAAGGCTTAGAAACTCCAGCGTGTCCTCCTGGCTCATCCCGCGGCGCCTCCTGCTGGTGGGACGGAGGTGTTCAGGAGGCCTCCTGACCAAATGCCTGAACCACCTCAGCTGGCTCCTCTCAGCGTGGAGGAGCAGCGGCTCTACTGGAGTAGAGAGATGTTCCTTGCTCAGTTTAACCCAACATGCTAATTACAGTGCCACCAACTGCACCCCCCAGAAATATCTACGCAACTAATCCCACTGAGGTCAACCGCTGGTTCCATCCTGCAGAACACCATCTCAGAAGCTAACCAGCTGCTCCAGATGGACTCCAGCAGCAGAAGACCACTGTCACCTAAGAACAAGAAACAGGTTACAAACCAGGATCACCAGAGCTGGACCAGAAGAGACAGGAACACCCTTTTCTAGTCTGATGAATCAGCTGCATCCTAACCCCGACCCATCTTCTGATGGCTACTCCCAGCAGGACCATGCAACATGTCACAAAGCTCAGCTCATGACTTCCTGGACGCCAACGGCCTCCACAGTCACCAGATCTCAGACCAGTCCAGAACCTTTGCGGATGATGCTGTCGTCATGTCAACATGGACCAGAACCTATGCTCTTTCTTTCTAATACCCATAATAATAAAGCACATGGTGATGTGGGTCATTATGACCATCGTTGTTGTGGTAGGTGTCTTTACAGGAACCCTGAGACCCTCCTGAGGTCTGAAACTGGACCAATGGTCTTATTCAGCATTTAAGCCCGAGTCGTTTAAGGAGGGAGAAGACCTGTTACGGTCACGTCCTTCACATGTCGTTTATTTAAAGGTTAGTTCTTTTTGGTTTTCATTTATCTTGTATTTCCCTACAAACGCTGTTTCTCTATTCTAACTACGGACAGGAAAGGGACCATATATGGTCATATATAAGGCTTGTTTACTGGGCGACTCGAAAATAACAACGGAAAAATAAAAATTGTGTGTGAAAAGTCACCGCTGAGCTGCTGGAGAATCCAGAAAACTCACCTGAAAAGTGCTTGGCTCTGAATTTTTGTCCACCGAGTGAAACAATCCCCACAGGTGTGGGCGGAAGTGTACGGGACGCATCTCTCCACGTGTCCTTCCGCGACACCTGACTAAAAAAAGAGGAATAAAACTTCCCCTTGGCCTATAAAATTCAATTCATTCATAACAGTAATTTAAATTAGACGAAGCTTTAAAACTAAAACTAAAACATCAATTTACGATTAAAAAAACTCTGGTGGTAAACCCTTGATTTATTCTCTGCTGCCCTCTAGCGGGCAACACGAGTCATCTCTAGAGCATCTGTCCACGTCATTAAAGGCACCAGGAAAACTTGTTTCACTGTTTATTATATGTTTATGTCCAGAAATGGAAACAAAGCTCTCAGTTCTTTTGTTTGCACATTACAAAGCTTTAAATGCAGATGCTTCACGTGTCTGTTGGCTTGTAACTGCAATACAGTAAATACCGACAAGCATAAAAGGAATTTATCATCTAAATGTGGGGAGAACCTGTCACCAAATCACATTTCTGTGTGTAAGAATTACATATGCAACAGTTTTACGCCAATTTAAATTGAATGACCTGAGTGATCTGGTTCAAATTGTGTTTACTCGTCCTGGTTGAGAGCGATTATGTCAGGTTGTTTTATTGTTTGTTTGTTGTTTATTGAGAGTTTCAGTGTTCCTGCTACACCCAAAAGCACGGCCGGGACTGGATAAAGATCACAAGTTTCCTCGTTGTTTTTTTTTCCCCAGATCTTGTTTTACACGTTTCTCAGAAGCCAGTTTGGAGGAGAGATTCCAGACTGGGAGAAGTAGTTCCACCACCACGGTTTCTCCTCCCTCTCCACGTCCCCCTCAGCAACATCTGGACTGCTGTAGCGTTCAAACTGGTTGTAGGGGTCAAACCGGTCCCAGGTGTCCGTCGTAGGGAAAAGGTGGTCATTGATGTCCGGCTCCACGGGAACCTGCGTGCAGGTGAGAGGTAAAACCAAAGAGAAGTCAAAAACCTGCAGGATTTCACGGAGAATTTTAACATTTATTTAGTGCACTTTGGGAAAAACTGCTCATTTGAAAACGTTGTCATTGTTACTGATATCAGATTAAAATTGTGCCGTTAGAGTCATTGGTTCCTTTACAGTCCCCTAATTACTAAGTACTTACATGGTAATTACATAGTAAGTTAAAGTGTATTATTGTTTCTGAGTTCTTAAACAGTTATTAGCATGTAACTCAGTTTCAATTCTAATTTTTATTTTTATTAATCTTTCCCAGTAAATACAGCTTTACACAATAATTACACTTTATTACAGCTGTAATTACACAAGAATACACTAACTTACTTTGTAATTACCATGTAAGTACTAGGTAATTATGGAACTTTAAAAGGAAGCGTTACCGAGTCATTCACAAGTTACGCAGCTCATCCTCTTTGTTCGTTTCCCCTGTGAGCAAAGGCTACGCATGTGAGGGTTTCCAGTCAGTTTGCACGAGTAGATGCCGGCATTGTTTATTTTAGAATAACCCAAAACAAGTTTCCAACTCCTGCAAATTTCTTCTATCTCAAATCTGGACAGCACCACTGAATCGTGTTGCTACAGATGCTTCTCCTCACAGAGGGAGAGAAACACCAACAGAAACCCCCGGATTTGCTGCTGCAAAGCGATCTTTGGTTTGAGGCTGTGGAGCTAAAGGTGTAACGTGCGACCGCAACGATCCAAACCTTCTCCAGGACAAAGTCCACCAGTCCAGCCTTGTTCATGTTGTGAGGCAAATAAACTCTTTTGCTGACTTTGGAGAAACCCTTGGCTGTAGCGGTCAGGATGTGGGTGCCAGGATTCAGCAGCCGCCAGTAGTCCCCGTCCTCAGCTGTTAGCGAGAAAGAGATGATGTTTTTGAATCATCAGTGACTTCAGCGAACCCTGGATCAAAGCTTAAAGTAGAAATATTATGACTTGTATCTTAAGTTTTAATAGATCTGTGGCTGACACTAAACATGTTCGTTGAGTTCTTTGCACTAAATCCCTCTCAGATCAAAAAATCTTAACAGTTTTATTCTTGACATTTTCAGGGCCTTCCAGAATCAGCCATTTTGGGTCTTTGTCACTTTAAGAAAACAATCTGGAGCTGGCCACACCCATCCCTCCCCTGATTGGCTACTATAAGCTGAGAAGCTCCAAGGAGAGCTGCTCCTACAGAAGAAAAGGTGTAGGGTGGTGCTACGCTAGTTTTCCTTATTGTGACATCACAAATAGGGACATTTTGAAACAGCTTGTTTTAGGCAAATAATTCCTTCTGACATAAAACAGACGGACGGGTTTCTCTCGTGTTTGGAGCGTTTATAGAAGCAGTAGAAACCTGCAGGGCGGCGCTAAAGGATGCCAGACGTGAGTTTTGCACAAATCCTAAAACAGTTCTAAAAGTTATACAATCCAGTTTTTAAGTGGGTGTTTTGTTTGTTTTTTTTTTACCTGTGGTGACGTCTCTTCTAATCCCCCTGACAGAGACCGTGGCACCTTTTATACCATTTCCATCCAAATCCTTAACAACACCTTTAATTCCTCGATGGACCTGTTCAGGGAAACAAGTCACAAACCTCTTCACAGCAGCGAGGAGCTTTGAGTGAGAAAAAGGACTGAAACCAGGCATTCACATTTCTTCTGAGAGCTCAAGCTCTCATATTTTTACCTGAGATTGTTCACAAATTAGTTCTCGGTGCACGGTAAGCAGGTGAATTCTGAGCTTTCATTATCATTGTGTTGTTTCCAACACGTCACGCTCGTCTAGAAGAAACTTACAGACTCGAGAAAACTGAGCAGAGCTTCCTTATTCCGCTTCCACTCTGGGTAAAGCTCCGCCTCGGAGGGGAATTTGTCACATCCAAGCTCCACTGTGATCTCCATACAGTTGGTGTGCAAGTAATTAAAGTCAGACATGCCTGCAGAGGAAATGAGATGGATTATTTTAGCAGGGTTCAGTCAATCAATCAAACTTTATTTATGCAGCACTTAATCATGCAACACATGCAACTCAGAGCGCTTAACAAATTGAAAAGGCCCCGCATTCCCACATTCCCTCCCATCCCCAGAAATTTTAAAACAGTCTGACAATAAAAACCCCTTCACAACACTCATCCTCCGGCACACACACCCACACACACATACATGCCCCCCCCCCCCCACCCCCCCCACCCCCCATTGAAAAATCACGATGGGCTGAGATCAGGTGACTCAAACCAGCTAAGATAAGGAAACGCCATCAGGGGAGCCATCCGCCCCGACACCAGCAGATCTGCAGCAGCAGCCGAGGCACCGACACAGGGCGCCCAGGGCAGGGAGGGCGGAGACCCCCACCTCCACCCAGGCACACCTGGAAAGCACCCAGGCCGCCACAGCCGACCACCGCCCCCCAGGGCAGAGGGCTCCCAGAGAGGAAACACTAGAAAAAGGTTAAATTAAGGTTGAAATATAAAATCATAAGAGCTAAAATGAGAATTTTAACATAAAAAGTTATTTAGATATTAAAATAATGTTGATCATAAATCTATGGTAAAAAATAGCATGTATAAAGAAAGAATACATTAAATAAATAACTAAATAAATAAATAAATAAATAAATAAATTTAAAAAGTGATAGTAATCAGTTAAAAGATGGGTCTTGAGCCTGTTTCTAAAAACATGAACGTTATTTGGAGATGTTTCTCCTCGAGGTTGGAAGAGAATCTCACCCCCAGCAAAGCTGTACCACAGCGCCCCATTGATGATGCCCCTATTCCGATAGAAGGAGGCTCCACATCTGTCTGTGTCATTGTTGGACATGGTGGCGTGGGCATCAGCGTAGGTTCGAGCCAGCTGCTTGAAGACCTGAGTGATGGAAGGTTAGTGGTTATTGACGGGGTGGATCCAGGTGTTACCTGTACTCTGTTCATACCTGCTCATCTGGAGTGGGTGAGAACATCTTCTCCTCGTGTGGGTGTTTGGAGAAGTCGAAGGGGTAGGAGATGACCAGCTCTCCTCCATGGAGGCTGGCCGACTGAACAAAAGGCAGTGACCTGATCCACTTCATTACTGCATAAGTCTCTGGTGCCACCTGTAGCCCAAATGTAGGTACTACATTATGTTGGTAGACTGGTCGCCTCAGACTGCGTCTTGAGTTTTCCTACCTTGCTAAACCAGTAGGAATCTGGGATTGGGATGTGGTCAGAGCGGTAGTGTCTGCTTCGCCTGTTCCGGTAGAAGATGGACGTGAGATCCGGAAAGTTGCGGTTCAGGTCGAGATTCTGGGCGTTAGTCCGTCCGTTTGTCCAGCCGTTCAACAAGTGACCCTGAAACGTTAGCGGCCAAACAGCTAGAGGCATTAAAATGTGTGAAATCTGTCGAGAATCAGGATGAACGTTGGTGATAACGATGTTGTTTGATCATTAGTAGAAGAAAGGATTGTGTCAAAAACAAGAAATACAATGGACAAATGATATTAGTCAGTCAGTCAGACTATTTCTGTTAATACTATTGTTAACATGTGGACAAGACCATGTATCCGTCAGGACTAAAGCCATAAAGATGCTGAAGCCATCAGAAAAGCCAGAAATTTTTGTTTTTTTTCATCCAAATTACTTGAAAATGGATTTTTCCTTCTTAAACTTGTAACGTACAAAAAGATCTATTTTTCACCATTTCATTGACACAACATGGCAACACCATCTGGACTCCCAAAACTACCCTTTGCTCACTTATTGTTCCTCAACACAGACACAAATATTCTCTCCCTAGGTCCTGCACTCTCTGAGTAGAAGACTGGCTGCTGCAATCCTCACAACCTACTGGAAGACTTCATGACTTTACAGTTATAAGTTAAAGAGCAAGTCACCCCCTACCAGATTCTTACTCCACTCCCACTTCCTGTTTGAAAAATGCAACAAATGCTGTTGCCTAGCAGACGGAGAGGACGGAGCCGCTAACAAATACACACACGGGCTCATAACGACATTGTGACATCATATGGTATCAGCTAACGCTCTAGGGTACCTCTTAGCCAATAGCGATGGCAGATTTAAATTCAAATGCAGTGCAGAGTTTTTACCTGACAACGGCACAACACTGACAGTTTTAGGCAGAAAATTTAAATTTTAACTAAAATGCACTAAAGTGCAAAACGATTGACTACACGTGTCTGCAGCACGATTAGACACACATTTATATAGTTTATCAGAAAAAAGGTAGATTTGGAGATAACTTGTTCTTTAAATAATCACGTGTTGAATGAACAAGATGTTTAAGTCAACACATATGATTATTATGTTATGCAGAGAGTGCAGGACCTTGGGTGAGAATATTTGTGTCTGCGTTGAGGAACAATAAGTGAGCAAAGGGTTGTTTTGGGAGTCCAAATGATGTTGCCATGTTGTGTCAATGAAATGGTGAAAAATAGATCCTTTTGTACGTTACAAGTTTAATATTTTGAATGCAAACTAAAGAAACAAAGGGTAACTAAAGAATTTTCCTCGTCAGCATGCATGTAGCAACTGATTTGTAATCAGTATTCCTGAGCTTAAAGGGAAATAAACTTTAGGCATGGAAAAGGTGCAAGTTTGGTTTTCACAATCAGAGATTTAAAAACCATCCGGTCAAAGACTTAACCGTGCAGCAAATGCACAGTTCAGAATAAACTGTGAAATGTTTTTAAAATGCCTTTTCAGCCATTTGTTGGTTCTGAACCGTGCGAGAAATTTCAGCAGCATGCCCACATCAGAGGTCGTAAGAGGCTGCGAGACCCAGAGGTAATATTTTACTGTAAACTCTGACAATAATGAAAGCCCAAAGAATATGAGAGACGCGTGAATCTAGAGGTTTGATCTGCAGGACAAAGGAAGTTGAGACACTTCAGCAAAATTCAAACAAGCTTCTACAGAAATGGCCAAAAGTAGAGGGAATCGCAAGTTTTGGTTTAGATCTGTTTTCCATATGCTCCTGACGAACATCTCATAAGTTGGCACTAGGCAATTAGTGCACCTAGTGCCTCGTGCTGGAAAAGGCACGTATTGGGAGGAGTTCCCCAGGGATGATGTTTCGGTACCATTCTTTAGTCGGCCAGTGTTGAGACACTGAACTGGGAGTGAGTCCATTTCCTTTGCTGAGACACACATAAAAGGGTCCTGTGTTTGTAGACAATACACCAGACTGATGGAAGCACCCAAACTTACATTCTCCTTACAGAGTTCTGTACGTCTGGATGAAGGTAAATGAGGCAGCAAAGCTCCCAGTTTGTTCGTTTTTGCGTTATTCTCTAAACTTTTGACCGCGGCTGTACAGAAAAGCAAAGACTCATGCAGGTTTCCCACTACCAGCCAAAGTGTTCAACCAGTTTTCAAACGTTTTTGCTTCATTGTCCCGACAACTCTGACTGGCTGATCACTGAGGCTGGAAGTGGGAGCGTCTCTTCAGGACAAGCAGAAGGACGTGAATCAAGCAGGAGGTGGAAGCTCGTGTAGACGGACATCTCAGCGCTTCGTTCGCTAAAATGAAAGTTGCTTCATTTTACAAATATGCAAATATTTTCCGTGTCAACAGATTCAGCAGAGTACTCCACCTCCGACTAAAGCTGAAGGAGCTCAGCAGCACAGCGGACTGAAAGCGGATAATGGCAGTTTGTCTTGTTTTCAGTTAACAATATTTACTTCCTGGTTGGAGAGCTCCGGGTCATTGCTATCCTCTACCTCTGAGGCAGCCAACTCGTAGCCATCGGGGTTCATGGAGGCCAGAATATGGATCCGAGTGGTGTTGATGATGGTCTGGATTCTCTGGTTCCCCAGAATGTACTCTGAGCACAGATACTGGGCCAAGTAGATGAGCAGCTGACGACCCAGCACCTCGTTTCCATGCATGTTGCCCACCAACTTGATCTCGGGCTCAACTATGGAATAAAACATTAATGCGATCAAAGCAGCTGAAGGGGAACCAAGCTCTGAAGTGGAGTGATGCCGAATTATCACAACCAAAACAAATCTGATCATCTTAGAACGCTAATCCTGACTCACGTAGCTCGTGCTGTCCGGGGTTGTCTGTGAACTCAATCACCAGCAGGTCCCTGCCCTCCGTACTGCGTCCGATGCTGTACACGTGAGAGATGTGGGAGCACTTGGCTGCTGTCCTCTTCAGCAAGCTGTACATCTGAGCGTTGGAGGTGTACGTGAACTGGATGATGGTGCTGGGCTCCTCAGGTGAGAGGCTGGACAGCGCCAGCTCCTGTCTGGCTGAAGGGCAGGTCGAAGTCGGTTTACGTTATTTGCATTGGTCAACAAAGTAGAACAACACACCTAATTGGACCTTTACCTTTCAGCCCAGCCAGAGGGTCAAAGCAGCCTTCTTCTTCACTGGCAAAGAAGCGATCACAGTCCAGGAAGTAAGGCCAGGCCATCTCGATGGCGTCAAAGGCGTGTCTGCAGTCCTTCCTCAGCGCCTCACATGTGCTGCGGCACGGTTTTATCATCTTGTTATCCCGGCAGGGCGAGGCTAGCACGGAGCAGCCTACGAGACGGATCTCAGGGGAGCACTCACCGTTGAGCAGAGCATGGATGACACTGAGGAGGAGGTACTCTGCCCCTGACTCTACTTCCAGACGACTCCGGTGACCGAGGATGTTGGGGAATATGGTTCTATAAATACAAAATGTGGCACCAGAAACTCTGGATTAATTACTTTTTTTTTAAATGTCCATTCGTTCTCTTCAGCCTAAGCAGAGAAGCCCAGACTTCCCTCTTCCCAGCCACTTGGACCAGCTCCTCCAGGGAATCCCAAGGCGTTCCCTGGCCAGGTGAGAGGCACGGTCCCTCCAACATGTCCTGGGTCTACCTTTAGGTCTCCTCCTTCACCAGGGAGGCATGCAAGAGGTATCTTAACCAGATGCCCGAGCCACCTCAACTGGCTCCTCTCGATGTGGAGGAGCAGCGTGTCTACTCCAAGCCCCTCCCGGATGACAGAGCTTCTCACCCAATCTCTAAGGGAGAGCCCAGCCACTCTTCGGAGAAAACTCATTTCGGCCGCTTGTATCCGCGATCTCGTTCTTTCGGTCACTACCCAAAGCTCATGACCATAGGTGAGGGTAGGAACGTAGATCGACCGGTAAATCGAGTTTCATCTTCCACCTCAGCTCTCTCTCCACCACGACAGACCGGTACAACGCCCGCATCACTGCAGACGCAGCACCAACCCACCTGTCGATCTCACGCTCCAGTTTTCCCTCACTCGTGAACAAGACCCCGAGATCCTTAAACTCCTCCACTTGAGGCAGAACCTCGTCCCTGACCAGGAGAAGGCATTCTACCCTTTTCCGAATCAAGAACACGGTCTCGGATTTAGAGGAGCCGATTCTCATCCCAGCTCCACGTTCGGCTGCGAACCGCTCCAGCGAAAGCTGAAGATCACATCTGATGAAGCCAACAGGAATGACAAGACCACTGAAATGCTGTGAAGATCTAAACTGCATGACCCACCTCGTGTATTCCACATCGTTACAGTAGCCGAGGTTCATCTCTGTGCAGGTAGCTGCGAGGAGAAAATTAGGAAACCTAAGTGAGGGGTTGAATTATTTATTACAAATAAACAGAAACTTCGGTTTTTGGTGTAGATAAACAAGTTTATAGTTCAACAGACATAATATAGTTTAAGAACATTTGTTCCATTTTATTTTATTGTCCGAACTAAATTAAAAATACACTTAAATTCTTTTGCACTTGGTTGAAAATCTCTAAAAACGAACGTATTATTATCATGATGACGAGCTGCTGAAGCAGCAACTCGGGACAAAGATTCATAAAAACAGATTTTTGACACTGAAAAGGTTTTTTAACGCAGACTAAAAGTTTAGCGGAGTGACCCCGAGCTCCCTGAGTCGATCATTTATGACTTTCGCCTCCACACTCGGAGCTCCATCGTGCTGGAGAAGACATTCACCACCAAAATGTTCTTTGAGGATCTGAGGAGTTCCTCATGGAGGGTGTTTTGGTACCATTCTTTATTTATGGCTTGTCTGAGGCTAAACCATGAGTGAGTCCATTCCCTGGGAAGCACCCCCCACACATGAATGATCTCAGACAGTACTGCTGGAGGACTGCATGGTGAGGACACTCATATTTTCTTCTCCAGATAATCCAACTATCAGGAAGAGGATTCATCAGAGAACAGGACCTCCTCCAGTCCAGCTGACGTTTAGGCTACAGGTAGGCTGAGGACTGGAGGAATATCACTTTGTCCTGATATTTACAGGGAAACTAGACTTTTAGGGAGTTGTATAATTCCAACACTAAAGAGGGATTTTGCTTTTAATGACAGTTCACTTGGTCATTTATAGAACAATCTGGAGGTTTTACCGCCAGAAATCTGAGGAAGAAAAGTTTATGATGAATATTTTTGTCACTCTCAGATGAAAGCTGCTCTCTGTAGTATGTTTCATGCACATCATCTTGCAGACAATAAAACAAAAAGCTACTTACGTGTTACTTCCTGCGCGCTGCTGCACATTCCTGAAGGAGAAGGGAAGTTAGCAAAACTTCACAGCATCCATGACGGTTTCTTCTACTGCATCACAGTCATTGGTTAACTGCTTTCCGAGCTCGCTGTTGCTTTACGGTATTTTAAGTTCTTACTCTAAATAAACTGTGATGCCATTTTTCTTACTGATTTTGCACGAGAACATCAGTGATCCTCAAACTCAACACAAGGTGGCGACAAAAACAAACAGCACGAGAATTCAGAAGCTTTTGTCTGAATAGGAATGAGGTTCAAAACACAACCGAGCCTGTTTATTCAGATCAGATTTCATCTAAATGAAAACACTGATTCGTTTATAGAATCTAACTTCATATATTCTGCAAAGAAGCTGCATCCAAAACAGAAAATAACACTGAGGAGTAAATGAACATGACCCAATCATTAGGTGTGTGTGTGTGTGTGTGTGTGTGTGTGTGTGTGTGTGTGTGTGTGTGTGTGTGTGTGTGTGTGTGTGTGTGTGTGTGTGTGTGTGTGTGTGTGTGTGTGTGTGAGGGTCTTACCTAAGAACTCGTCCCCTGGATGACATCTCCGCTGCGGAACGCAACAACAGCTTGTGAGGAGGAGCGACAGCGCCAAAAGTTCCAAACGCATGTTAGAAACGCGCGCAATGCGGCGAGCCGCTGGTGTGATGTGGCACAGTGGTGTGTGCGCGTGTCTGCTGCAACTTTCCGTCTGCTCTCGGTTCCGTGATAATTACCGCCCGCCGCACAGAGAGCTCCTTCCTTTGTCTGCGGAGCATCCCTGAGAGGAGCGGATCAGGGCGCGCTGCTGCAGCGATCATATTTCACACAGCGCGCGCGCGCGCGTGTGTGTGTGACGGCTAGTCCATAGGGGGCGCTGGGGCTCTGCCCTCCCAGGTGCAAAGGGAGGAAAGTATTCAGATGAATTTGTCAAAATAAAGTGGAGACTTCTGAATAAATTCATATTTCATTAAGACAAAAATATTGTTTGTTTAATGTCTTACACTGATTATAATGATAAATGACCTGCACTACAGTGTATCATTCATCCATTCACACACACACGTTCACACACTGATGGTGATGAGCTACGATGTAGCCACAGCTGCCCTAGGGCACACTGACAGAGGCGAGGCTGCCGAGCACAGGCGCCACCGGTCCCTCCGACCACCACCAGCAGGCAAGGTGGGTGAAGTGTATTGCCCAAGGACACAACAGCAGAATTCTCTGTCCGGAGCCGGGATCGAACCTGCAACCTTCCTCTGGACAAGCCGCTCTACCTCTTTCTTATTCACTCTCTCTCTTTCTTAACATTTTTTCTTTTAATTCCCAATTGCCTATTTTTGCTCATTTTAAAAATATTTTTAAACATTTTCTAAATGCTTTTTTATATTTAAACATTTTGTTTTGTTTTTGTGAAGCGCCTCGTGATTTTTATCTTGAGAGGTGCTATAGAAATGATATTTTCTTCTTCTTCTTCTACTCCTCCCCCATTAGAAAAAATACTGCAAAGTAAACTTTTTTGGGCCCTCTGACAGCTGTGGGCCCTCATGTCCTAACCTTTCCCCCTTTACAGCACGTGTGTGTGTGTGTGTGTGCGTGCGTGCGTGCGTGCGTGTGTAAGGGACACAGTTTCACTTTGTCATGTTTGTCCACAAAACTTTTTCCATAAAGTTTTGGAACCACCAACAGATCTTTGGGGGTGATTCCGAAAATGATCTTTGATGTTTTTGGTCAGCAGGGCTCTGTTGTTTACTCTTGACCTCTGACCTTAAGCCGAGTTATTTGGCCGACTGAAGTGACTTCTTCATCCGTTTGCTCTGGCTCCGTGCTGCTTAAGACAACAAATAAAATAGTTTAAAACTGTTTTGTTTCTACTCGAGTGTTTCCTCTCTGGAACATTTGGATGTGGCCGAAAACAGAAGGGTTGATATCTTATCCATCCTAGAGTGACAGAATTGAAATCAACACAAAAGCATATTTGGAGCTCGTTTATTTCCAGGATGTAACGGTGCTTTAGTGTCAAACATCACTCAGTGGCGTATATTTAAAGAGTCCTTGTGATAGAACATATTCACACATCCTTATTTGCATTTTTAGACCGCTAACACAAGCGTTAACGTTCGCTCTGGCGTTTTAACGTTTTGTCACTGAAACTGACAAATTGGTCCTCACGGCACTTCAGAGATTCACCAGAGTCCTCTCCTCCCAGAAGAACCAGAAGGCTTCACCTTCAGCTCTGTGTGTAGGTGACCTCTCCCAGCAAGGCGTTGACCTCTTCCCTTCTGCAGCTCGCCCCCAGTGCTAAAGCTATCCTTTGACCCTCCCGATGAGGTTCTAAAAGAATTCGAACCACAAGCTCAGGTTATCCTAGCAGGGCAGTTTTCCTCTGTGGTGTCCCACATGCTGCTTGTGCTGTGGACGGACAGGAAGTAGCGATCTTTTCCAGCGAGCCGGCTGATGAGGCTGACCAGAACCTTCCTGTACTGGTGTCGCAGGAGGCAGTAGACAAACGGGTCGCTGGAGGCCTTGGCATACATCAGACACTTGGTGGCGATGCCCCAGTGTCGGGGGATGTGCACAGAGGGAAGCAACTCCACCAATCTGCAGCGGGATAAAACCCAAACACGGGTCCGGGTCATTCTGCCCCAGAACATTTAGAATAGCCTAATCTGAACACTAAATGCAAGCAAAGTAAAGAAAACCCTTCATCGGGTTTTACCTGGTGATGACGTACGGTGAAAAGCAGAGGATGAAGGAGCCGATGAAGATGGAAATCTTCTTAGCAGCACGCTGTCGCCTCTTCTTCTGTCGAGCCAGACACCTCTCCTTCACACTGAAACGCACACAAACAGCTGCTCTTCACCCACGACCGAACCTCCTTCTGCTTAATGCTGCAAGTTAATCATGACGTCAGTAACGACATCATGAGTTGGATCATCTTGTTAACGGAGAACCCGGACAGGTGACTCACCACCAAAGGGACTCGGAGGTGTTGGATAGGAGATCTTTCACTCATTTGTGGCTAAATGACTTCTAAATGCTTCCTAAACATTTATTTTAAAACCATCAACTGCATTTGTGTTTTTTCATATTTGGAAACAACCTGGAATATTTTGATTCAAGCCTGTATATTTACATTTGATTTAAAATGTTGTTTTTTTTTTTACTGAGCATGAAGTCATAGCGACCTCCTGTGGTCAAATCTGTGAACTGCAGCCCGTGTTTCAAAATAAAAGCTGTTTTTACAAAACAACGCCATCAATTTGCCGCAATGCCATGGCGACATCAGGGAGCCTCAGGTTGTTTATAAGTGGTCAGACCGTGGCGGTAATGTGGCACAATTGTGTCGTTTTACTAAAGATTAGGCGATGGCGGTATAAAGGGGGTATGGAGCGGTCTCTGCACTGCAGCAGACTTCCGTTTATCGTGGACATAACTTGTTTGTTTGTTTTTTGCAATCGAAGCCGAGATCGGTACGTTTATTTGACAAGCGGCTCCTAAAGGTGTCTGTCCCCCACAGTCCCTGTGCAGCCTCGGGTGATCTGACCTCCAGGAGCGCTAACGGAGAGAAGCTCCAGGAGCGCTAACGGAGAGAAGCTCCAGGAGCGCTAACGGAGAGAAGCTCCAGGAGCGCTAACGGAGAGAAGCTCCAGGAGCGCTAACGGAGAGAAGCTCCAGGGGCGCTAACGGAGAGAAGCTAGGAGCGCTAACGGAGAGAAGCTCCAGGGGCGCTAACGGAGAGAAGCTCCAGGAGCGCTAACGGAGAGAAGCTCCAGGAGCGCTAACAGAGAGAAGCTCCAGGGGCGCTAACGGAGAGAAGCTCCAGGGGCGCTAACGAAGAGAAGCTCCAGGGGCGCTAACGAAGAGAAGCTCCAGGGGCGCAAATGGAGAGAAGCTCCAGGAGCGCTAACGGAGAGAAGCTCCAGGGGCGCTAACGGAGAGAAGCTAGGAGCGCTAACGGAGAGAAGCTCCAGGGGCGCAAATGGAGAGAAGCTCCAGGAGCGCTAACGGAGAGAAGCTAGGAGTGCTAACGGAGAGAAGCTCCAGGAGCGCTAACGGAGAGAAGCTCCAGGGGCACTAATGGAGAGAAGCTCCAGGGGCGCAAATGGAGAGAAGCTCCAGGAGCGCTAACGGAGAGAAGCTAGGAGTGCTAACGGAGAGAAGCTCCAGGAGCGCTAACGGAGAGAAGCTCCAGGGGCACTAATGGAGAGAAGACCAGGGGCGCAAATGGAGAGAAGCTCCAGGAGCGGTAACGGAGAGAAGCTCCAGGGGCGCTAACGGAGAGAAGCTAGGAGCGCTAACGAAGAGAAGCTCCAGGAGCGCTAATGGAGAGAAGCTCCAGGAGCGCTAACGGAGAGAAGCACTAGGAGCGCTGCAGCCTTCCAGTTTGCTGTCTCTGGTGATTTTGTTCAAAAAGCAAGACGTACCTCGTTATGGTTGCCAGCTGGAGCTCAGCAGCAACTTCCCATGTATTCATGATACCTCCCTCTGCTGGGACAAGGAGCGATCGCCATTTATAAGTCCGACAATTATTGCGATTTTTCTACCAAACGAGGCAGAACGAACGCTGCAAAATCGGCGCACTTCCATGCCGGTGTTCTGACTATCCGTGCTTCCTCGTCGAATATTCCTACCCCAGAGTGTTACGACAGTTTCGCTCTTGTTTACAGTGTAGTAACACGCATATTAAGCACAGTTTATCTTAAATAGGTGATATTACTCAAAAATACAGAACTTTAATATAACTATTAGCAACAATATACAGTCTGTCGTGATTTATTTATGAAAAAGATTGTGTTTGTTATGATTCCGTGAATGACGGTAAACAATGGGAGAAATTTCTTGTTTACCGTATAATAACCATATTTTTTAAGCTAACTGTCTGGTAAACATACAACAAGCAGTAATTTAACAACTTCCAAAGGTAGCGTCTTTTCAGGTAAACAGCCTGCAACGTAGTGGTCGGTCAGCGCATTTCCCCAAAGTAGCATGTATCAACGAGTAGCACGAATACTCCGGCATGGTGCATTCATAAGACTCGCTGCTGCAGTAATATTACGGTAATTTGCCGGCCTGGTGTGTCGCAAAAAGGCTAAAGAGTCTGCTTTCAGTGACAGCCCTCCATTCATGTTTCATGGTGGTTTCCGGTTACAGATCAGCACCAACAGATTCTAAGATGAGCGAAGACGAGACATACTCAGTAAGCTGATGAGTAGATAAATGCATTTCACTGTAATATTGAGTTGTTGGTAACGGAAAAAGTAGCTTGAGATATTTTTAAAGGCCACGTTTTGCATCTAAATCACCGTTAGCATTGTTAGCCCACCGTTAGCCTTCTTTGCCAGATATTAGAGTGAAACAAAAAGATGCCGTGGCTTCTTACGGGACAAGAAATAACTTCTGGGTCACTCCTGTTACTAACATTCGTTCCTCAATGCTGCTTTTTCCCATTGAGTGCGGAACTAAGTTTACGCTAGGCTAAGTTTTCGCTCACACATGTATTAACTGAGACGTTTTCCTTTGGTATGTCGAAGCAATTCTCCGCCAGGACAGCAGAGGGCGTAACGCCTTTTTGGGGTTTCCTGCCATCAGTGCAGTCACTCTGGTGTGTTTATATCAGTATTTCAGGATTTTAAACACGGACAAATATGTCCTCCACTTCTCTATGCAGTCACCACCTCTAATCTCACGTTTCCCATCATTTTCTGACACGAATAAGAACTTCGCTGCGTATCTTTGTACTCCTTCAGTCGCGGGTGTGTTGTTAACATTTATATTTTCAGACTTTTACCAGTACATATCTTCGGCTCTCGTTTCATTTCTTTAAGGGGGAAGTTCTGTTGACTAAGTTAAAGGGAGCGGTGTCCTGACCAATCACAGGCTTTGATGGATATTTAGAAAAGTTGACTCTACTCCGTCCATCCTTGCCAGCCTGTTATTAGAGAGCCCTTGCAACAAGGAATGATGGTGTTGCGTGTCTCCGTGCTGATGCAGACAGAGAAGTCTTAGCTAGCCTTTAGAAATGTCAATGCAGCAGCGTGCACCGGCAACCCCACAGACTCGCATATGATTGGTTCTGGAGCCAGGAGGTATGGAAACACCTCACTTAACTGGACAGGTTGTCCAGTTTGACCTAACCAATTTGATTTTATTCTAAATCTTTATCTTAATGTTATTTGCTTTAAATATTTAATGACTGTATTTTCTAAGGGTGGCGAAAAGTAACTTTGGAATTTTCTTGTGACAAATGGCTGAAAGCTGGGAAAGTGTAGCCGCAAAAGTACAAAATATGAATTTATTCCCTACCTGGGGTGGAGATCCACCAGCAGAAGCAGCGTCTGCACCGTGATGACATCGATCCTCTTGCAGTGGGACCTGGCCACTCTCAGAACCTTCAGGTAGGCGAAGCAGAGGACGAGGAGGCAGAGCGCAAAGCTGCTGCAGTGGAACAGAACCGTGAAGGTCACGTAGGCTCCCTGCTGCGACTCCCCCTCCGCGTCTAGGTGGACCGTGCACGAGGCGTACGTGTGGCTGTACGCGCCCCAGTCCATCATCAGCTGGGTCAGAGAAAAGGTGAAGGACTGGAGCCAGGAGTACGCGACGATTAGAAGCGCGTCCCTGTGGCGCATCTTGCTGGAGTACCTGAGAGGGAACACCACCGCTATCCAGCGGTCCATGCTGAGCGCGGCCATGCTCAGCATGGCGTTGGAGGTGATGAAGGTCTCAGAGAAGCTCACGACGCGGCACAGCAGGTCCCCGAAGGGCTTCGCGCTCCACCTCACTCCGAGGAAAGTAGCGGGCATGTTGATGACAGCCAAGAGGATGTTGGAGAAGGAGAGGTTCAGGACGAAGACTCCTGGGACGTGGGACCTCAGCTCTGCGCTCTGGGTGAAGCATAACAGCACCGACAGGTTGGTCACGCACGAGACGACAGCTGAGACCACTATGGACACCTCCGAGAGGAACTCCGGGATGCTCATCTCTCGCGCCACGGTGTCAGCGGCGACGGAGGAGAGGATGCTGCGCCATGCTCTCCGGTCCTGCCCGCTACCTGCTGCGACTCACGCTGCTTGCCACATGCCAGATGCGCGCGCGCCGATGAGCTGTCCAGTGCTGAAATGTCCTAACAAGGCTTTCCTGTCACAGTACGAGCCAAGCAGTGAATCCAGCACATTAACGCAGCTGTTTAACTGGAAGAGAGAATCCTTACAGGTGATGTTCATTCGCGCTCGTGCGCATCATCCATGCAAGCGCCTCCTCCAACTCCAAAACACCGCGCGCCTCGCACGTGCAGCCGGTGGATGCCTCGTGTGGCGCATGGGTAATGTTCACGGAAGCAGTAGATGTCATGATGTTTGCACACACGTTCCAGTGAGTTCCACCACGGTGGCTGCAAACGTGCTTGCGTAAAACCAAAAGAAACTTGGGTCACGTTGGCTCAGGAGCATCGCGTGATCACTAAACATACACAGAGACACCCACGCCGTTTCCATGGCAACACCGTGGTTTGGTTGTTTTACAATAGTTCGTGTTGAGAAGATAAATCACAACAGACATGTTGATAAAATCAGAACCAATATGATCAAAATCACCACATCAAACGCACTTTCCTCCAGAGCATCTTAGAAGTCTTAAATGTTTTCATAACCCCGTTATTAGCAGATTATTACTGTTTAATTAGGGTTGGGGTTAAAATCCAACAAGCTGCTTCTCTGACGCCAATGTTCAATTCACCTCGGTTTCAGTTCCGTTTGTCATCCAAATGCACTCAACACACGCTCAAATTCAGATTATAATCTGTTAGATTCAGCAAATTCAGTGAAATTATAGTAAAATTTTAGCCTGATTCAGGTTCTTGGAGCGTGAACTCGTTTTCCGCATCTTTTCATTATGGAGCTGCTGCATGCCAGAGGCAGGAGACGCCAAAAGTTTGAAAAGTCTTTAAGAGTCTTAACTAATTCTGGATTTTCAGAGCGCCCGTGAAGACGCTAGATCTGCTCTCTTACTTTGGAAATGTAATCCAGCAGAGGCAGAAAGCGAACGCGATGATGGACCCCCTTCGGGCAGAAGATCGAGCTTGCAGCCTCACGGCTCCGGCACCAACACCTTTACTGGATGCAGTAATGTACAGATAGCTTTATTTCAGCAGCAGTATTTATCAAGTAAAAATAGATTTATTGCACTGATTTCTTTGCTCTATTTAGTTCGTTTATTGTCCTGATTGCTGTGAAAGACGCAGCCCATCTGTCTGGTTCTAGCTTATGAAGCTTTGTAGCACAGCTGATGGCAGAAGTTCAAGGAAGTGGTGATCGAGGTGGAAGGGATCACTGGTGAAGGTGTGTGTGTGTGTGTGTGTGTGTGTGTGTGTGTGTGTGTGTGTGTGTGTGTGTGTGTGTGCGTGCGTGTGTGTGTGTGTGTGCGTGTGTATGCGTGTGTCTGTGTGTGGTGGTGAATTTATTCCCAACAGCTCGCACGTTTTGGTTCAATCCTTCAGCTTTCATGAAGATCACATTCACAGCACCCCCCCCCCCCCCCACACACACACACACACACACCATTTCCTTTCATCATGCTGCTACCAGAAGAGCTGTTGTCACTGAGCGTGGGAATTTAATGACTGCGTTGTTGTGGAATAAAAATCCCCTTTGGTGCCGAGCAGGAAAGAAGAAAAGTGAGAGAGTTAAAAGGACGACTCCGAAAGGGACGAGTGAGGGAAATGGCAATCACCCCCTCATCCAGAAGGAACCCTCTAAGTGATGACACGTTTCCTTCGGGTTCTCCGGGCTGGAGAGAGTTATGCAAGCAGCAGAACACGCCTCTGATGGCAGGGACACTTAAGAATTCCCGTTCAGGCGAGAGGTCCGTCTCGCTCACCTCAGAGCCTCCGGATGGATGAACGCTGTGTTACATCACAGCGGTTCCCACAGACAGCACCACAGCATCCAGCTCTTTCGGCAGCTGCGACCCCAAACCGTCGGCTCTGTTTAGTTCAGACGTAAAGATGGAAGAGTGCAGCTTTCTGTGGAGGTGCTGCTAGCACACGTCCCTCTAATGATGGTCATGAGAAGGGATGGATGTAAGTGCTGTGAGGAGGAGATGAGTTTGTTAGTCCTGCAGCTCCAGAAACACACTCGGATTCCATCCTGGAGCTGCAGGCGTCTGGGTCTGTGAGGTCCTGGTGCTTTGAGCCACAGAGCTCAGAAACGCTAACCCACACGGACACTCGCATGCCTATAAACGCACACAGAGTCAGATTCATGCCGCTGTCGCTCTCTTGTCCCGCCTCTGCACTTTACTTCACTCCGAGTCAAAATCTAATGGGCCATTCCCATCTGTACCGGGTCGGCCCGGGCCGGGTAGCATAGGTTGTTTACATATCTGAGTGGCCTGGTATTTTTCCGGGCCAACCAAGGCTCATTCTCAGCCCTCTTCTCGAGGGGGTCTGCTTCAGGCCGACCAGGGCCAACACGCCCACTGCTGACAGCAAATTCACACCTTCCATTAGAGCAAGCCTCTGATTGGTGGGTAGAATCAGCCCACATGGGCTTAAGACAAGGATGTGTGGAATCAACCGGGCCAGGCTGGGGCCGACAGGGCTACCCGGCCCGGGCCGACCCGGTACAGATGGGAATGGCCCGTAACAGTGCTGCCGCCTAGCGGGGGCGTGGCCACATCCTACTGGAGGGAAAACCTACTGATGATGTCACATCAGACTTTTGTACGGTTGGATAAATTAAAAATTAAAACCATTTGTTTTGAATTCCTTAATTTAAACCATGTAAGAAAACATGTTTACTCAGAAACATCCTAATATTTTGTGTTACGATACTGAATTGATTTTAAAGGCAGCATATCTGCGTTTACATTCGGACATTCACTCTTTTAGAGGTGCAGTTCAAACGCCGACTGCTAGGTGGCAGCACTTTTTTTTTACCACCATCAGTCTGATGAAACAACCAAATCTCAGGAAAATGCTGAGTAGTGTCGCTTTAGCAAACATCGCCTGACTTAGCATCACAATATAATAATGGTTCCCCCGCATCGTGATACGTGTCGTACCGTATGTGCTGTATTATGGACAGTGTTGGGGAGAATACTTTGTAAATGTATTTAGTTACAGAATACTGAATACCTGCTTTAAAATGTATTTTGTAACATATTCCATTACTTTGCGTAATCCTGGTACTGTATTCTAAATACTTGGAATGCTTCCCCTCAAAATCAGCATTTAAGTCTATTAAATATCACAATGTGCGTTGGTAGCTACTCCCTTGAGAAAGCAAAGGACATGTTTATGCTAAACAGTATGAACTGACTGGGAAAATAAAACAATTCTTCAGATTAGATGTTGAGCCTTTGGACTCAGCTAGTCGGTTGTTAGCTGGGAGACAAAGATTGCACTGCACCATCAGATTTCAGGCACCTCGCTCCTTTTTTACAGGGAAAACTGCTCGGATTTCCAGGAAGTGAATTTTTTCTTTCACTGCTAGTAGGTTGATTTAGCTGCGGTTGTGGCTCCACCCACTCCCATCTCCACGGTACTACTCGGGGGTGTAGCCTTCTCGGGGTCTCGGCCATAGTGTTACTATGGTTACAGAGGCACATTGTTTAGGGGCATTATGGGATAGATAGTCTACATAACACAGAGACGCATGTTGCCCAAAATTAATTAATCTTTCGAGTGAAAGTTGTCCAACGTTACAGCTCCTGTGCCCTCTGGCAAACCAGTTGTTTACTTTAAATCCAGATGTCTCTTTTTTATTGTGGATGCTCGATCCAGCTGGTCATTTGTTGTTTTCATTAGGAGGTGAGGGGTGAGATTTAGCCATTTGGCTGATAAACGGTAAACTGACTGTATCTAATAAACGTAATCCTGCCAGCTATGACGCAGCATGTTTCCAACGCCCACAGAGAGAAGCAGAATCCGCCAGGGTGACCAAGCAACCCTTCATCTTCCAAGATACGAGCAACCTCGCTGCAGAAGTCTCGTGTTTACTGCTCAAAATTTACCCACAGAAATCTGGATCCCTGGTCGGGTCACAGCAGCCGACGTCCTCATTAAGAGGCTTAGTCAACTTTATAGCTGCAGAAAAACGAGGCAATTACCGTGTTCCTTCATGCACCGAGAAACCCACATGACAGCACACCCACTTGAAATAAATCAGCACATACACCAACTGTCAGATTGCGTATGTGCGCGTACACCCCACCCACGCAGAGGTCAGAGAGTAGATGTGGCTGTATTATCCAATATCCAGAGTCATGCTTGTGTAAGAATACAAGGAGGCGACGAGAATAAAGGACAGCAGAACGGATTTATATAAAAAAGGGACAAAGACAGAGGAGGAGAAGGCAGATGATTGCCAGATCTACCTGGCTTTGAACAAACCAGGCTCCCTCTCTCTTCTGGACCGATGTTTGGCTGAAGTGAGGGTTTGGCTTGCCAACAATTTCCTGAAGCTGAATGATTCTAAGTCGGAGGCACTCCTGATGACCCCTAACAAAACCACACACTTATCTTCTGATTTGGACACTCTCCCGTATGACCTCAAGCAGTGTGTTACCAACCTGGGGGTGAAACTGGATACACACTTTTCCATGGGCCCTCAGATTAACGCAGTGGTCAGATCGTGTTTTTATCAGCTGCGCAGACTAGTTAGCTTAAAACCGATCCTGAAACAAGCACACCTGGTGCTTCATGCTTTTATCATCTCCCGATGGGATTACGCAAATTCCATTTTAATTGGTTTACCTGCCTCCGCTCTTAGGCTTCAGGTCGTATAAAATGTGGCAGCCAGGTTTTTAACAAACATCCCTAGAAGAGACCATATCACACCTGTACTGGCGCAGCTCCACTGGCTACCCGTGAACTTCAGAGTCAAGTTTAAAATCCTGACTTTTGTTTTTAAGGTCCTGAACGGTCTGGCTCCGGTGTCGGTACAAGATCGGCTCAGGGTCCGTCGACTGCCGATGACGTCAAAGTAGTTGATTGGCTGAACATGAACCTTACGGAATTACGTAATCATGTTACGTTGGTCCAGGCAAATTTTTCTGTTGGAAAGATGGACAACTTTTACAAAGAAATCCATCATTACCTCTTTGAAAATACACTTTTAGCACAGAGCTGCATGTATATTAGGGCTGAACGATTAACTGCATGTGCAATTAAATTGCGATGTGACAAAAGGAGATTTTCTAATCGCAAAGGCTGCAATTTGACAGCGAGTGGTTAGCGCAATGCTAATATACGTGGAAAAACCCATAGGAATGCTAAAGCTAATATCACCGATTACATTCTTACAAATTATGAATTAGAAACTTGCCAAATGATTACATTTGGAGTCTAATAGAACATTATTTTAATAACGAAACTGCTAAATTCTTGCCAACAGCATAGATGTGTACTGTATTTTGTCTGAGTGGGTTTGCCGTACTTTGACGTCATCGGCAGTCGAAGGACCCCGAGCCGATCTTGTACCGACACCGGATTACCTGTCGGATCTTGTGACTCGTTATGTGAAAAACCGGGCGTTGAGGTCTGCTGATTGCCTGCTGCTTCGTGTTCCAACAATGAAATACAAAACGCGGGGGCGGCGTGCTTTTGTCTACGCTGCTCCGACACTCTGGAATGCTCTTCCTCTTTCAGTGAGGCTAGCACCATCCCTCCTCCGGTTCATGTCGCTACTTAAGGCTCACTTTTACGACCAGGCATTTTTAAATCCCTGACTTTTATTATTTTACTATGTGTCTTTATTGACCGTGTATTGTTTTATATTGTGTTTTTACTTTTTATTCTGTACAGCACTTTGGTCGGCTGCCATGCCGTTTTTAAATGTGCTTTATAAATAAAGTTGGGATGGTTTGGAGAAGGCATGAGTCAGCCGTCTGGCAGAAGGAGGAAGACGGGAGACAGACGATGAGTTCAAAGGCTTTGATTATCTCTAGAGCCCCGACTGAATCCTTTCTGACCCTCTTTAACCAAGTGTATGTGTGTGTGTGTGTGTGTGTGTGTGTGTGTGTGTGTGTCACAACTTGTTCATTTGTCTTCATGTCTTTTTGTTCTTCTCCTGAAATCACGTCCATGGACGTAGCTGAGGCACGCTAGCCGACGGGAGGGGGCGGAAGTCCGTGACCGACTTTAAAAGCTAGCTTGTGGCTCCAACAATCATAGTCAATCCAACGTTTTCAACTGAAGCTGCAGAAATGTGTGTGAAGCCACAACATCATGCAGGAGCTGTCGTGATTAACTTTTGTGATCAGATTCACCCAAATGTAGGGCCAAAGCTCCCCCGTGCGCACCTGTGCACAGCCAAGTTTTACCAAGTAAGACAAGGGAACGTGGGAACTTGCAAGAGCAAGAAAATCACAAATCAACAGAAGTCAACCTGGAAAGTAACAGAACTTGTCACAGTCATGTCCTCGGAAAATGCAGATTTTGTCCTGATGGTAACACCCAGAGCACGAACACCAAGAGTAAACGACAGTAAAGCAGCCTAAATGCACCTGAGGCGTGGAGGAAGGAACAAGGACCAGGTGTGCAGGATCTGATTCCAGGCAGGTGAGCTAGTTAACTAAGGGAGCTGAGGGTCACCAAAATGACAGACTGAGTAAACTAGGGAACAGAGGGAATAATACCAAACTCACCTGGGAAGGAACCAACTCAACTTCAACTTCCAGGTTTGTTTGGATCTGTGGTAAATACAAATGCGTTTACAGAGTTAATGCAGAAAGTATCCCTCATTTTCTTGTGTTTGTCTAATTCCAAAATTAATTTAACCCTCCCACTGTCTTTATAGGTGACCCTGCCAGGAAAGTGTACCACTGAGCAGGATTGATGGTTTATCCCTTGAGATCCACGTGGCAGGGGTGAGGTGGTGCTCACTCCTCACCCAGATCCCCCCACAGGGCCGGCCACCCCCACACAGGTGCCTTGGTCTGCCTGGGCCGTGGCTCCCGGGTCAGGGAGTTTAAGATTTTGGGCATCTGCCTGACCAATCCCGGTGGCTGTCTTGTGGGGTCTGGGTCCCTCGGCTCTGCTGGGTCCCCAGCGGGGGTGGTCGCCCCTGGGTCCCGGGTCATTGGGTCCCGGGCTCAGCCGGCTAGGGGGTGGGAGGCTGCGGGAGAGCCTGTGGGCTTGCCGCCGATATCTACCGGGACTCTGCCGACTGCTGGTTGTGGCCCCCCTGGGGCGATCCTCTGCGCCTCTCGAGGGGGGCGGGGGCTTTTCTGGTCGCAGTCTCCCTGGAGTTCCTGTGCTCTCGGGCAGCTCCTGGATCTCTGGGACTTGGAGCTCCCTCCGTCTCCTGCACATCTTTGGGGGGCAGATCTGTGGCCCCTCACCCTCTCTATTGGACACTTCTATGGAGAAACCTTACATAAACAAGTGCGTGTACACACACAGGTGCTCACATGGTGCTCACATAAGTATGGACTTGGGCACGTTAAACACAAGTCTTAAGGCTATGGTGGGCACTTAATGCACTGTGATTTATTATCGAGTGATTGTTCAGTTAAACTAGGTTGATTATATATTTCTTCATCAAGTTGACGCAGTGATAACTGGATCTTGTTGTGTTGTTGTTGTGTCCCTTTTTTTGTGTTTTTCTGCTTTTTTTCGTCTCTCTTTCTGCAGGTCTAGACGCAGACTCTTGTTCATTATTGTTTATTTTTGTGAACCCCCCCCCCCCCCCCTTCCTTTCTCTTTCACCTCTGTCTCCGTGTCTGGTCGGAATTACAAAGCATTCAAAAACAATAACAATAAAGTATCAGGCGTGACATTAAAAGCAGACGCTTTGATGCTCCACCTGAGAGTAAATCTGTAAGGCTTGTCACCAGCATTCAGACATCAATTCTGTTTGCTTCACAGCCAGACAGGATGCACAAACAATAATAATAATAATAATAATTCTGGGGATGGGAGGGAATGTGGGTGTGCCGGGCCTTTTTAATTTGTTAAGCACTTTGAGTTGCATGTATTGTAGGATAAAGTGCTATATAAATAAAAGTTGATTGACTGATATTCTTTTATATAAAAGATAAAAAAGTAACAGATTCTTTTACATGTACTAGTCAATAAGAAGCTCTTTATAAAACCAAAATCTCTCATAATAGGGTTGAACAAATGAGGTTACTAACGTTTGTCCACATTTAAGTGAGTTTAGTGTAAAAGTGCACGTTCAGACAAAAGTGTTTGTTTCTGATGAGCAAAAGTTCAAGTTTTGGTTTAAAATCAACTCTTTCATGAGTCTGATCATCCTCCAGGCTACTTCATTCCACATCATCATAACTTCATAAAAACTTATTCCACACAAACTTTTTTGGCTTGATTAGTTTTCTAAAACCCACCAATGAGCAGCTAAAGCAGTAACATCAAGCAGATGCTGTTTATTACTCGAAAACATCGGTTTAAGTCGTATTTCTGGAGTTTAACGAGTCCGGACCCCACGTTAAACTTTAAACAATGGTTCATTCACCAAGTCCTGGCAGAAATCTCCTTCTCTGGCTTTAACTGCTCACAGGCTGTTGCTAACTTTGTTTTCACTTTGAGACTTTAGGCCAATAACACAGATGATTGTGCATCCAGCAACACTTCTGGTGAGAGTGGTCGATCAAAACAGCAGAAATGCCTGAAAATTCAAAAAATGCTCTAAAAAATACCTGTAATCTGTTGGGAGAACTGTCGGACTATTTCAGAGTTTGAGTTCATCGAATAATCTCATAGAGAACTGTTTGTTAGGTAGAAATAAGATGTTTGCAGTTTTCTGTGCCGATCAAAAGATCTGTTGTTGAATTTTCACCAAAACCCTTTCATCTTTGTTCAAATACTTCCAAACGTGTCAATTAACCCTTATATGTCTTTACTGCAGTTTTTTGTGCTCAAACATTAAAAACGTTAGAAAATTAAAAGGTAATAAGGATTAAAGGTGAAATTTGTAAGACTGGCATCTTGTGGTCAAGTGAGGGTACTGCAGTCCATTTTGTAAGTGCAAATATGACATTTTCACTCTCGTGCCGCGAGTTTCGTGGCAGTTGCGGATCAGCACCAGAATATTCTAGATGACAAGCAAGGACGAGTCATACACGGTAAGTTCATAAGTACAAAAATACATTGTATCTGGTCTTGGCACTCTTTATGGTAGGGCGCACTTACTACACTTATTACAGTAGTACGTTTCTGCCATATCAGGAAGTGTGGTTGTTTGCAGAACAACTCAACAAAGAAACTAAACGCCACGACTGACTCATTATTCACGTCATACACACATATTTCACTGTAACGTCCAGTTGTTGGTCATTGAAAACGTAGCTTGAGATATTTTTAGAGCAGACTATTTGTTTCTAATTCACTGTTAGCATCATTAGCGCAAAGTTAGCTTCTAGCCTGCTTCACCTGATTATAAAGTAAAACACAAAGGTGCCGTGGCTTCTTGGAGGTACAAGAAATCCCTTCTGGGTCGCTCCTGTTTACTGGCTTTGGTTTTGTTAAACGACTCTGAGCTTTTTCCCTGCTGGTGTAGAAGTACAAATGCTGCTGCGTTAGCTCGCTGCAGATTCAGCAACCTCACTGGTTGTAAACAGTAACTACGGTATGTTGTTTCTGGGTTTTTCAACAAGGAGAAAGACTGATAACCCCCCAGCTGCCTGAGAAGGAAATCTTTCAGCGTAACAGAGACGTTAAACTGTTTTATGATTATTTCACAGTAAAATTCTTAAGAATTTCACCTTTAAACACCCACATTTTCCTGAAGCTCGCTATATCCAAGTCTAAAGATAAGGCTGGAGGGAGTCATTCCCTATCTGACTACATTTTTGTAAGACTTTGGATGACAGATTGTTTCCAGGGAACATCTCCGTATAAACAGATTTGAAGGGAATTCGTGGAATTCCAGACCTCATTAAAACCTCCAGAACTGCGTGGCCTCAGGAGAGCTCCAAATCCTCACACATGCCCTCAAGTGGCTGTCATACATGCAGAGGAAGGTTTTCCCTGCAAGTCCAGCTTTGCCCTTTAATGTACATTTAAACCGGTTGTGTTAGTAACCGCAGAAGCACGAGGAGATTAGAGCAAAATCATTCAACGGCTGGATGTAGCTTTTGTCCAGCTGTGTGAGACTGATGTGACCTTTACCTAAAGCTTGTGTGGAAGGATTTTGTGATTGTTTTTATCCTAAAACTCCTGAAGGTTTGCATTTCCTCCCCTCTTTAGTTCCCCAGAAGCTCGGATCTGAAAACACTGAGTCACTCGTCGTGAATTTGACTCCAGACAGATGGAAGCTGTTAGGGTCTTTGCTGCTGTTCAAGCTGTTAGAGCTCTGCTACTGCAAAAGCACATGCATGTCATCTGGCACGCCGATTGGATAGTATGGCAGGAAAAAACTAACATCAATAATTCACAGTTTATTTTAAATTTAAAAAGGTAAACGTAAATGCTTAGAATCAAATCGAATTAAATGAAGAAATTTCTAAATGTAAATATTTTAAATATATAAATCTGCATCTAAATATTTAAATGTAAACATAAATATTAAGACTCAGATACAAGGATATAATTGTACACCCCAATAATTATCAATAAATCTACAAATGCAAAGGAAAAATTACTGATCCATAAACTAATCTAAATATTCACATCTAATATTAAAAATGACGAAGATGTATATCATCAAAAGAAGTCCCAGGAGAAGGGAGGAGTCAAAGGCCCCTCCTGACATATACAGTCATACACAAACACAGTCACACACTCCCTCCCTCATGCTCACACACACACATACAACCAAAGACTTACAAAAATGAACGCCGGACACCAACTCATGCTCCCCATATGCACCCTATTCACTCTGGTACCGGTACTGCTGCACATGGGGTACAGCCATCACCGGTTCCCAGAGTCTGACCCTTTCTGCTCGGGTGCTGATGAGCAGGCTCCCCCGCCCAACACTGAGCACAGCAACCCACCACCCCAACCAGATGGCCAGATCTCCCTCCTTGCCTCCACGGTAAGATAATCAACCTATAAAAGGTATTATTAAAATACAGTTTTTGTTCATATAGAAATATTGAACAAAACCATAAATATAGAGATGTAAAATAAGATTTTAAATTTTTATCCAACCCTAAAATTTGTAATTTCAAATTTTAACCCATGAAAAATGTTTTTTTAATAATAATCAAGATAAAGTTATTCAAGAGTTTCATTAGGTCTTGAGCACATTGCTCATAATTAATGATTCAGCTTATTTGTGCATATAACATAATGTTGGTAAAATGCTTTATTAAAAATGCTATTATACTTGTTGTACAAGTTTGGTTTTCATTTCTTTCACAATTAACACTTTTTTATCTACTGTGTTTGACCATACAGTTTTATTGAAATTTTATTTTTAATTAGTTGCTATTAGTCAGGCTATAGAAGCCAGATAAACTAGATGCATGTACTGTCCACATAAAAATATAAAGTAATGATAGTAAAATGTACTCTACTGAACATAATAGATCATCATTCAAAGCATAAACAGCCACATGTTTTCTTCAAGGTAAGCTGGAGCAGAATTCTAGCTTTCAATAAACACTTTAAAATGGATATTACAACTCGAGTTTAGGGCTTCTTGTAGGACTTAAAGTTATTAAATATGCTTATATTAGAGCAGTGTGTTGCATTACTACATTAAATTTATTGCTATAATATATTATAGTAATGTATGTGGTCTAAATGTGTTCTACAGTGTGTTAGGACTGTCGTGTTCCTGTAATGTAGAACAGTCACGTGTCTGTCTTCCTACAAATGCTCGGGAAAAATAAATAGGCTGCTTTGTGAATGAATTAGGACATAATATATAATATTTAATAATTACCAAAAATCGCCAGGGGAAATGTGACGATATTTAATGTTTGTGATTTGTCCCACTGCCGTTCAAACTGACTTACGGCGCTGGGATGTTTGGAACTATTGAGAGCTCCGTGAACCACGTGACCGCGAGTCGGCGAGTTCAAAGCGTGCCGCTACTCTAGCTCTCTATAGCTCTGGTTTCCTGTTAGCGGCTATATTTTCCGCTGAATCTTATTGGCTCTCAAACAACCAATGCTTTTCAAACGTCTCAATGCATATTTTCTATCATTCAGTTCATTAACATCAGCACATTTAGATCAGTCCATTCGGAAAAGTTTACAGATAATGTAAGTTTCAGTGGGAGCACGGGCAGAATATCTTGCCCTCCAGCAGAACCCGGAAACAGCACCAGTAGGAAACAACTTATCCAAAAGATCCTTTATCTACACCGGCAATCATAATCAGCGGTACTTAGCTGTCCCAGCTGATGCGACCCCCTCCCCGGGGTCTGAGCTTCCGACACGGTCCAACGCCCCGGGGTGCAGCTTGCGAGGGCGGCGGGTGAATCCGCATCATAGGTCCGGCTGCCAGGGTCTGTGGCGGCGGATGTCGGCGTGGTCTTGGCACCCAACTACTCCCAGCCCTCGCTACCTAAAGAGGGCGTCAAGCCTCCCATCCTAGGCACACTGCCACCTGCTCAACCATCTTCATCGCCGGTGTTCTGAGAAAACGTCCCTGTTCATTCCACCCTAACCCAAACAAATGCACATTGAAAACACTTCAGTTCTATTTTATTAACCTAAATATCCCGCTTTTAATAGTTTACACCCACTTTATGCTCAC